ATCAGTCAAACTGCAACGTGCCAGCCATAAGATCTGCAGATGGGAAAGGCTGGTTCCTAAATCCCTAAACAAAAAGTGAAATAAAGCTATCATGCTCCTCATTTTTTATTTTTAAGTTTGATATGTCCATAACCACATTCGCTGTATAGAAAAAAAACAACAATGTTGCTATTTGGCAAAATATCTTATTTTGTGTTCTATGAAAGAAAATTGCACAAGCATTGGAAAAAGGATAAATCACAGATCAAGAGTTTACCTTTTGGATGAAAAAACCCATTAAGCAAGTAACAAAATATTTTACATAAACAAAGGTCTTACCGGACAGATGAGATCAAACTGTTGTTCATTTTTAGCTGTGTAAGTTTTGGCAAATAGACTCCTATAAGGCAAAAAAAAAAAAAATAAATAAATAACAAATAAACACACAAATGTTTTGATTATGAACTCTCCATCCTCTTTCTCATGCCTGTCAAACCAAACTAAAAGCCAAATTCATTTGGACCATTTTAACAGAGACAATTTTCATGACAACATTTGGATAATCTTTTAACCACCATGCAACATGCAACAATAGATAAAAAACAAATAATCATATACTGTAAATGTAAAAAAAGAATGATGATTTAAATAAAAGCTTTACCAAAATTGTCCAGCGTGTCCTGTCGTGTATCGACACACATCTCTAGTGACGTGACTTCTTGTAGATCATCTGATCCAGAAAGGATTTTCTAAAGAAAAGAAAAGAAAAGAAAAGAAAAAAATAAATTAAAATAATAATAATATTGTGTGGATTTTCACCCATGATACAGTTTGTTTAGTTATCTAACGTTTTTACACGACAAGCTACGTGTTTTTTGCATTATATTCATTTTACATGTTTAATACAGTCTCAGAATTGAAATCGTACCAATATTTCCAGTGACAGGCACAGTTGATCCATCATCTTGTCGGAGTGGTCAGGTTCAGCAGTAGGTTTTAAGTTTAATGTACAAAATCCATTAAACTCAGTGGAGTGAGTTGTGCCAGGTCTCTTCTTTATCGCTGTTTCACTCAACATTTGCAACTTTACATAAAATAAGAATTTGGAGAAAACGACAAGTTAATTACGCTCAATAAGTAAACAGTTAAAACCTAAAGAACGTTAAATACACGCACCTACTTACGGCCTCTGTAAAGCAAGTGGAATAGTTTGCTTAGCAACGGTGGTCTACATCCTGGATACGGTGCCACATGGGAGTTGTAGTCCATTTAGAATTTTAGATCTAAATATTAGAACGAACAAAAAAAATAGCCAAATAAATAATGGGACTTTGCTTGTAACCAGTCTCAAAAAGGATTAAAGTAAGTTCTTTACAAATTTAATAAGCTGACTGGTTACAATAGTAGCAGCAACAGAAAAAGCATCTGTTTAAAAAAGGGTCTGCATAATTATTATATAACTGACAACTAACTACAACTACATTATACGTACAATAATAACAATATTATTATTATTAATAATAATAATAATAATAATAATAATACTTTTTAAACCACAAATAAAATATTCCCAATCCAATCTGAAATACCAAAAGGACAGAAAAAAATAAAGAAATAAATTTTTATCTCTTCCATGAGCAGTTAAAGACATCCTGGTTTAGAAAATCATATTTCGCATTTTTAAGCAATGCTAAATATCTTATATTACTAGCACTTGTGATTATTTGCCTTTTTATGATAAACTACTTTTTACATTCCTTATTTGCAAATCACTTTAACCATCATATAAAAACCATCTGATAAATGAATAAATGTAAATACAGCATTATAAAAACTATGAACTGGTAAGAACATCTACATCTACCAGCCTAATTTAAACAAAATTGGAAATGGACAGTTGCTAAATTGCAGTCTCATCATCATGTGATCAAAATATTGATTGAAAGGTTTAGCACATCACACAGCAATTATGCAACACACACCACACAAACAAAATAATATAAAAATTAAAAAGTCTTTTAATTGTTCATTGTTGATCAGCCTTGATTGTCAGACTAGTAGTATTTTTGTTATGCAAAAAAGAACATTGACAAAGAAGATACAAAATGAACAAGGAGACATATTATGACATAAAAGATTTTATTTTGGAAGAATCCAAAACTGTTCCCATTCTATGTCACCAAATATTATTCCAAAATCTCATGCAAACATGTAAATAAGTCTGAGATCTACATTAATAACTGAGCTTAAGTTTTTATTTGACACAGAACTAAAAAGATTTTAATCGTCAAATAAGTTTGTGTTGGGAAAAATGTTAAAGAATCTGAAGAACTTTTTGAGCCAGATTTACCTACAAGCAGGGACTGCACCAAAAACCATGGCATATTCTTTTAGGGAGACCTGGAAAAGAAAACCAATGCACACGTTTTTGTTTTTACACGAGAAAGGGATACCACAGTGATCTAAAAATTAGTTTTTTAAATAAAAAGTCTTCAAATGTAAACATCCCATAGTGTAAATAAGTTGTCATTTAATCAAAATATGTCAATAACTCAATTTTTAAAAATATCAGATAGAACCTTATAATTCTAAGGTGACGATTGGTATGTGGAAAAACTTATTATAAGCCTGTTTATGAAAACTATAAATTTAAAGGTATTTTAGAGATGTCAAAATTACCACGCAACAAAAAATATAATCCTCTAAATGGCGTACAAATATAACTTGGAATAAAATTCCATCATGATGTTGGGTTATTTAAAAATGTCTTAATCCACTTCATTTTGAACAAATTATTAATAGTGGAAAAGTCCACAAAAATCCAAAACCGCCCATGATCAACTAGCATAACGCTTTTTTAAATAGGTAAGTTTTACAATTCGAAAAAAGTATTCAATAAATCTCACATCTAGTGTCAAAGCGGTTTAGATAACCTGAGATATCCTAGCTTTAGAAAACAACACTCTCGACCCATTGTTAAATCACTCTTTTACCAAGAATATAACTTGTCAAATAAACAGTATATGAGGTTCAAAATTTATCTTTTATATCTTGACATATAATTATACCTATTTGACTTCAGATTTGACGTCATTAATTTTACTGTCAGTAGAAGAATTTTTTATTCATAAAAGTTCACATTCATGAATATTAAGACATAAATCAGAAGCTAAAGGGAAAAATACTAATTTTGTCTAATGCTGAAGGGACCTGATTTTTGTTTAATGGAGAGAAGATTGTTTCAACACATTTCTAAACATAATAGTTATAATAACTTGTTTCTAATAACTGATTTATTTTATCTTTGCCATGATGACAGTAAATAAAATTTCACCACATATTTTTCAAGACACTTCTATACAGCTTAAAGTGACATTTAAAGGCTTAACTAGGTTGATTAGGTTAACTAAGCAGGATTGGGCAATTAGGAAAGTTATTGTATAATGATGGTTTGTTCTGTAAACTATCGAAAAAATATATAGCTTAAAGGGGCTTATAATTTTGTCCTTAAAATGGCTTTTAAACATTTTAAAACTGCTTTTATTCTAGCGAAAATAAAACAAATAAGACTTTCTCCAGAAAAAAAAATATTATCAGACATACTGTGAAAATGTCCTTGCTCTGTTGAACATAATTTGGGAAATATTTAAAAAAGAAAAAGAAATTCAAAGTGGGGCTAATTATTCTGACTTCAACTGCATATATGTATTATAATTTCACCAAGGCATTGGCATTATTGTACTAAGTACAATAGAAAATCAGTGGAATAAAAAATAAATTAATGCATAAATAAAAATAAACTGTCATCAGGTTTAATACCCTCAGTCTGAGTCAGTCATAGTAGGAGGGAAAACACACTTTTTTAAATGCTTTCTAAATACAATGTTAATTTTATTATACAATTCTATAGTCGAACCAGCATTATGTAGGAGTTTTGGTTTACTTTAATTTGTCAGTGGCCACAGAAATATATTTAATTTGAATAGTAGCTTCACATAAGATGCTATTGTCATTAATTTTAGTAAGAAGTTTAATACCAAGGGAGTTAAAAATAAATCCAAATTCTGTTGAGAGTGTCTGGAGCAATAAAAGTCTTTGTAAATTTCTTCACAGCATTTAGATTTTCTGTATAATTCTTAAAAACCACTTAATTTATCTTGAGGCTAAACTAGCACTTTTGTGAATAGCAACATAACAAGTTTTGCTTAATATTCATAATCTCTACCTTTGTGACACATAATTTCTTCTTGAAGAAATCCACTTTAAAATATTGCATAAAATATCCGGCTAACTCATTTGTTTACAAATATGTTAATATTCAAAGTAGTTGTACATTTTGTGATAATGATGAAAGTTTAATACATTTATTTTGTATGTGGTAATTTGTTCAGAAATTTTGATTCAACCTGTATCATTATTTAAACACTCCTACCTTTGCACAATCTTTTAGTTTAAAATAAATTATTTGTTATTACTTAGAACCTGCACTTAAATCTAATAAATTTATCTTCAACTTTTTATCTTGATTGGAATTTTTTTTTATGCATAAACAAAAAATGTATGGCTTCAATCCTTGCGTTTTGACATTTTCTGATTGAAGTTGACTCGGCTCAAATCTTTCCGTATGTGTAAAAAAAAAAAAAAAAATCTTGGTACTATATGAAAAACTGTTGTCTACTGACTCAGATTTGAGTTAGATAGCTTTCCTGTAATGCTCTTAATTTGTTTATTTTCATAAATTTTATACAATTTTAATTTACCCCTTTCTTTGTTTTGTTAGTCTTTTTTCTTTCTGCAGCTAATGTTGCTGGTATTTTCCCACTTTAGTATGTTTCTTATATTGATCTCCTGATTGTGGTTGTATATTTTCATTCTGGAATAAAAAAAATATACATATCTGCCTTTGCCATAGTAGGTTTGTGTTTCAGCTGCCGGGGCGGGACTGTGTGTGTCGTGTGGGGCTGGGCGTAGGCTGTACTTGCGCGCACACACGCACATACACACACACTACAGTGAAGCACATTGTTCACGCCACGGTAGACTGTCTGGTACGTCTAATGCAATCCAGGAAAATCTCGAAATAGTCGAAATCGCCTGGAGAGTGACTGATTTCGGAGAATCAGGTGAAGTGATATTTTATGTTGCTTAAAAACATTCGTTTAATTGTAAAATAAGATTATAGCGTGATCAAGTGGACCGACTCAAGTATTGTTTACCAATACACATTTTAAGATTATTTTACACACTAATTGGGTTGATATTTGCCGTTATTATTAGTCCATTTGTATGGATGCATGGAGAATGTTTACATACGTGATCATGTTTACATATCAGTCATTGGGCATTTAGACTGCTATTGTGTAATTTCTACAATCTGTGGTTTATTGCAAAGTGGTAAAAACAGAAAAAGAAAACTTATGGTGTATAAATAATTCGTTTTCATTCGCCTGATACAATAAAACATGTTGAGGAATCTAACACTTAAATCAGATCAGTTTACACGGAATCGAATTTTAACAATCGATCAAAGTGATCGTATGTTCTTTAATCTACAACATAATGTTAACAGGAAGATTTCACTCCTAACACCAAATGTACATGATGCCTATTATCCAATTTATTAAGTTTTGGTTGCATCCATGTGACAGTTACAGCCTCCCTGTATTTACTCGGGTGACGCCCCATAGTACCGGACGAACGGTTGCAAATTCTACTATGATGAAGACTGGCTCATGAATATTAAGTAGTCCATCCAGAGTTTGCGTTCCAATGGCGAAGTACTGTTTGCTGAATTCTTATTATTTTCCGCTGACGTTGCACGGTAATCAGCCAATAGCGATGGCTCCGTTTATGTATATGTGTATACCTCAACATAGTAGGATTTGATATTTTAGCACTGTGAAGTGCAGTGCGGAAGTTTAAAGTCGGATTGTCTCAGGGAATTCAAATTTAAACCGCACTTAAGTGCTTAAATACGAACGTTTCATATTTTATTACAGGTCAAGTATGTTTGAGCACTAGGATTTTCACTTACACAAATATGTTTTTCTATTTATAAAGCATATGTATTTTTAGAATCTTTTTTTACTGCAATGTACTTTTATCATTTGATTTAATACTATTAAATGTTACATTAATTAAATAATAAGTATTATGCATATGCTATGATTTATAACGTTGTTAAAAATAAATCAAAGCTAAATAGAACATTATCACAATGGGGAAATTGACAAAGTCATTGCTTAAATAGCTGAAGCTAAAATCAAACAGCAATTAAAAATATGTGGAACAAAGTAAGTGGTTAGAAATATTTTAAAATACTACAATAGTAGAGGGTGTACAAAAATGCGAACAACATTGATTTTTTGATTTTTTTTTTTGTTTTGTTTATGATTTCACTTGAATGATTACTTGATTTTAAGTTACAAAACTTGTATTTTGTATTGTATTTTCTTATGTATTAGGAATGTGATGTTTTTAGTGGAGTCAATTTTCACATTAGTACATCTTCATTAAACAAAATAAATTGCTGTATTCACAGATACAGATATTTAATAATCAAATATAAAATAATGGTGCACATCATTGTCTGAATTCAATACAATTAGTCTTTGTTAAAACTACAAACATTATCATTTCTCGCACCTCAATTGAACTCACTTGGAATGTTTACACAGTAACAGGCTTAAAATCATGTTGTTTTGAAAAGGAAATAAAGTTGGTTTCAATTAATTCACAGTTCACATGCATATCATCCTACTATCCTACAATGTGACTTTTGTGGATGAAACATCTCAATGCTGATGGTATGACGATATACTCTGCAGCCCTATACAATAGCATAAAATAAAAATAAAATTAAACAAACTAAGATGGTGTTTTAAGATTTACAAACAAATAGATATGAAAATTTCTGTGTGTATTTTATTTCACTCTACATACTGTATGTTCTAGAGATAGACACATCTTGAAGTGTCTGCAGTGTAGGGCAGTAGATTTAGGCTAGACAGATGTAATGATCTGGCTAGTGCTGGTTATTTTGGGGGATGATGTCAGTGGCTCAGTCGGCCTGGATCTGTTATGGTTCCTCTGTATTCGATTCCATCATCTGCCATATGAGATTGCTTTTGCTGTCTGAACCTAACTGAAAATCACTTAGGCCTACTTTTATTGTAGGGTTCTGGCTCAGGGGAAATTGATACTTCACATCCTTTACATTCCAAAGGAGGTTGTGTGTGTATATACAGTCTATGTGGATATACAGTTCATGTATTTGAGTGTGAGTGGTTATGCACTGTCACCATCTTTTAATTAAGTAAATCCAGATAAATCCAGAGTAACAAGATTAGGTATGGGGCGATAACCGGTTTCAAGGTATACCACAGTTTGAAAAAAGTCAAGGTTTTAAAACCGCCAAAATGTTCCATCATACTGTTCCTAAGGTATGTGTAAGATTTGTTTATTTTTTGTTTATTTATTATTTTTTTTATGGTTTATTTTTTACATGTTTAACACAACTATTTTATTTAGTTTTTCTTAGGGCAACAGTACCTCCAACAGAAAAGGAACCTCCACATCAAAAGATACTGGTCCAAAATATTTAAAATGTTTCTTAATATACAGTATTTTGTTCTGTGGGGAAAAAGTTGTTGTTTTTTTATACAGACATTTAAAAAGAACATATTTTGGAGCAGTAATCACAGTACCGTGATACAGTGGAACTGTGGTATTTTGAGCCAAGGTTGTAATACCGCCAGAATCTTATACTAGCCCATGCCTAAACAAGATTCATTCATTCATTTTCTTTTTGGCCACAGCGGAATGAACTTATCCAGCATATGTTTTTACGCAGCAGATGCCCTTCTAGCCACAACCCATCTCTGGGAAACATCTAAACACACTCATTCACACTCATACAATACGGACAATTTAGCCTATCCAATTCACCTGTACCACATGTCTTTGGACTGAGGGGGAAACCCACGCGAACGCAAGGAGAACATGCAAACTCCATACAGAAATGCCAACTGACCCAGCCGAGGCTCGAACCAGCGTCCTTCTTGCTGTGAGGCGACAGCACTACCTACTGCGCCATTGCGTCGCGCTGCCTAAACAAGATGCTATATTACTTTGTTGCAGTGACTTGTTTACAATGTTAGCTTATACACACTGTGCATGACGCTGATAGAGTCAAAACTCACAATCAAAGAAGCACAGTATTTTGTCAATGATTTCTGTCTTTCAAAACTATTTAGTTTGAAAACAAACATTCATCGGGTGCGTCTCACTCAGCAGCATGGTCGCCAGCCATTTTAAGGAGCCCATACAAGACGATTCAGGGGGCCCACAGAGACATTAGCCCCTTTCACACATACAGACCTTTCCGTAAAATTACCGACAATTTTCTGGAAAGGTCTGTATGTGTGAACATACCCATTTTGAAAATACCGGTAAATTCGTTTTGGCTATTTTCTGGAAAGAGAAGTTGTAACTTTACCAGTAATTTGCCAGAATGCTGCGATGTGTGAAAGCAGAAGGAAGATTGCCGGAAAGAGCGCGTGCACGTTTAGAACGTGCTGACGTGATACGTCTGCTTTAGCCAATCAGAACAGTCGGACGCATTCACGTCCGCGCAGTTTATGAGAATAAAAGCATGTAAATATTTTCCCAGCCACATTTAGCTGCTTGAAGTTAAACTAACGTATATAAGTTCATCTCAATACCAAATGTGTAAATAATTGTGGATAAGATGCTTATGATAAGCCGTTGTTTGTTTACCTTCAAACTTTCCGTGAAACAGCCTGTGAGCGCAAGCACACACACATATCATGTACATCTCGACATGCAAAAGTGGTTCTCTATATGTTTTTTATCTAAGTTGTTCACAATACTGATCCATCCACAGAGTTTGTAGTCAAATATTTACAACTACAAGCCCAGCTGTTTAGAGCTCATTTCTGGTTAATGATGTCAGAATTTACCGGTATTTTTGATGGATGTGTGAATGCTCTTTTCCCGAAAATTTTTGTAACGTCCTCGCCTGTGTGAACAGCACTTTTTTGAATTTTCCGGTAAAGTCGTTCTAGAAATTTTCCATATATTTTCACTGTGTGAAACGGTCTACTATCTAGGGCCCACACAACCACCCCCTATTCTCCCACTCTTCACTTTCATCCAATGAATGTTTGTCATAAACAGTCGTGATATAGGCTGCTCAATTCATTTTGATCATACAGTTTACAAAGATACATTATTCGAAACTGAATATTTCACTTTTATTTTATTTATATTATAATTGTATTTAGCAGGCAGTGTTTGTGTTTTGGCCGCGACATACTGTATAGCGGACCCGGAGGCACATCGCTTCATTTTAAAGTTTATTCGTTATTCTTGTTTATTTTGTAAATCACTGACTGACAAAAATTAAGATACAAATTGTAAAAAACAGAATTCGTTCCAAAAATATTTTTCTTCCGACAAAAATATATGAACTGTATATTTTTGTGCGTCCCCATCCGCTACACAAGTGCAGAGTTAATTTCGCTCAACGGGAAAAAAAAGGATTTAATTAATGCTCTACTGTAATTGCTGCTACACAAACCCCTGTGATATATTGGCTACATTTTTATATTATTATATGCTATAGCCTACTTTATATGCGATAGTTGTCTCATCACCGCGGTCGCAGCATGCGCGTCTGGTATTAGCTTCTGTAAAAAAAAAAAAGACCTACATTTGATCAGCCTTTTAGCCTTTTTACTGATATTCCTGTGCCAGTTTGACACTGTACATTAAACAGAGGGTAGTTTAACGAGGCTACTTCACAACCCTCCTACACCTGAACGCAGGAGAGAAGGAGAAAAGGACAAAAGTGCAGCGCTGAGCATTTGTTTGATTCCTTGATTATGTAGGCTATTTTAAAAATGTATATTATATAATGACTATTAATAACTGTATTATAAAATGGGAGTTTGCATGTTCTACCTGTGTTCGAGTGGTTTTCCTCCGGGTTCTCCGGTTTCCCCCACAGTTCCACAGTACAGGTGAATTGGGAAATCTAAATTGTCCGTAGTATAGCTTCTGTAGACCTACATTTGATCAGCCTTTTAGCCTTTTAAAATGA